CACCTCTAGTTACAGTCCTATGGTGGGATGGGAAGGCCCAGGATGAAGAGGCCTCACCTGTGAAGGCCAATGATGCACCTGCTATGTGTTTTCATACTCAAGGATGCCTCCTAGAGAAGGGGACGAAAGACCTAGACCAGAGAGAGGTTCAAGACCCTGCCTGATCATTAGGTCACATGGAAACTTCCTTTCTTTAAATTAATTTTTGCTTTAACTTTTTCATACTTTACATTTTGATCATACTCTTTCCCGTCCTCCAACTCTCACCAGATTCTCCCCACCTTCCTACCCACACAGCTTCATATTCTTTCTATCCCTTAGACACAGACCTCCACGTACACACAAAGCAAAACCAAACAAAACCCCGCCAAAAGTCAAAACAGACAAGTAAAACCAAAACATGAAAAATATCAAACAAAAATGTACCCAAAGTCAAATGGAGTCTGTGTGGGCAGGGGGCCTGCTCTGGGTGTGGCTGGTGTACCCAGTGACACTCCGTTGGAGGATGCTGGACTTGCCCTGTCCCAGCTGGTGTTAAAACAGCTTCTTAGTTAGGAGTGGGGATCCATGTCCACTTCCCCATCTCAGTGCCGGGATCTGTGTGGCTTGAGTCTTTGCATGTCTGTGAGCGCTGGCTGTCGTTGTCTCTGTGAGTCCATATGTGCAGCGGTCCTGTGTTGTCTGGAAGATTGTTTCCTTGGGTCTGTCTACCACCTCTGAGTCTTACGATCTTTCAACCTACTTCCGGTGCCTGGGCCCCACCTGCAGAGCAAAGACATGGCCGTATCTGGGATGAATTCTGGACTTTCTTTCTTTCTCTCTCTCTCTCTCTCTCTCTCTCTCTCTCTCTCTCTCTCTCTCTCTCTCTTTCTTTCTTTCTTTCCAAATATGTTCTTCAGGTAAGTCAAGAATATAGGTTTTGGGTTGTATGTGTGTCTTAATGAGGTGTATATGTGCCTATTCTTATGTTTTAAAGTTTATAATAGATAGGGTTAGGTATACAGCTCAGCAAAAAACCCTTTGTGGTCATCTGGAACAGAGTTCAAATCAACTGTCCTTTCTAATTGTGTAACATTGGAGCATTACTTCATGTGTGACCTCTGCAGCTGTACAATGTAGTCAACTATCACTGAAAGGATTCTACAAAGCGATGTTTATGAGCTTTCGTGTGACTCTCACACTGGCAGTTCTATCACTGACTAGACCGTGGCAATGGCAACCATGTCCTGCTGCGGTTACATATCTGAAGTGGGTGCTATCTCTCTCTGAATGTGACCATGCCGGTTTGAAGGTGAGGGCATGTGTCATTCATTTCTCGTCTTTCATGTATTCTCTGCTGCCCTGTGGATTCCCTGACGTAAATCCTAACTCCTGGGCAGGCGAGAGGGCTCGGTGGGTAAGCTCATGTACTGCCAAGCCTGATCCCCTGAGTTTTTTCTTTGTAACCCACACGCTGAAAGGAGAGAACTAACTGAAAATCCTGATCCTTAATTTTTTTTCTGACTCAAGCCAAGATCACCCCGGTTGTCCCTGCTCGTGGATACCCTACTCCAACTTCTCCAAGAACTCTAACCACCAAGGGAGATGGCTCAGGTGAGACATGAGCACAGGTGGATGTGCTTAATTCGCATCTCAGTTCACAGAGTTTAGAATATGATAAGAAAATCACTTTTCGCACTTGAGATATTGTTTGAGGTGAGTGAGATGGTGGCCACACAAGTTGGTCCCTGGGTTAGGATTCTGTAGAAGTCACAAACTAGCCAAGGCCTTGACCTGGGCCAAGGCCTTTCAGTTCCCTGGGGCTCTGGTTCCTCTTGTTGTTCAGAGACCTCTGGTTTTCCTGTCTCAGGAAAAATAACATTGCCCCCATGGAGAACTTAATTTGGATGTCCACAGGTTTTGCTACACAAAGAAAGAGAACCATCTACCATTGCCATCGTGTCATTTAGAAAGAGAGTCATTTGGGGCTGTAGAGATGGCTCAACTATTAGAGGGTAAGGTTCACTGCCAACAAGGGCCCCCTCTTACTTAAAGTTTTAATTTTATTACATTTTAATAAATTAATCTCTCTCTGTGTCTCTCTGTGTCTGTGTCTGTGTCTCTGTCTGTCTGTCTGTCTGTCTGTCTCTCTCTCTCTCTCTCTCTCTCTCTCTCTCTCTCTGTGTT